AAGGGATTGATCAACGGCGAAGGCTTTATCTTTTTTATCAGTGAAATCCAGAGGATGTAGACTATGTTGTTTTTGGTATTCGAAGGAGTTCTCGATGATAATTTGAATAGTGACTGGATGAAGCCATCACCGAAATCACAATGTGAGAAATTTTTGAGGAGGTGGGAGGGGGGTGGCGGAGGAGGACACCGGGCACCTCGCACGTATAGTGTCTTCGTCTCCATAAAGGAGGAGTGAGCTCAGAATGTTATCCTTCCTCGGTGCCATCAGTAAGAGAATGGAGGAACAACGGACCAAACAGTTCGATTGTTTCCATGAAATGTAGAAGCTCAGAGTGAAGAAAGCTCTGTTCACCAAACGCCAACTGTTCCCACATCTTGCCAGGGATTTCAATGAAACCCGTGCAGGATGAGAAACGGACTGCCTCGGAGTTAATAGGATGGCCCGCTGCAATACTCGAGCGCTAACTAGTAGCAAGTTGTGAGTGCTATACGTGATTAGAGATTGTGGGGAAATGTTAGCAGGACTTCCTCATCGGCTGGTCGCAATTCATAGTACTTACTCACTCAGTATTTTGCCACGCTTCTGAATAAAAGTTAGATGCTTGGCGCAATCATAAGCTCTCCACACTTGAAGGCAGTAGGCATGATTGCTGGGGGCGGGCGATTGTTGCCAACGTCATTTGTGGAAGGGCTGAGTGGGGTGGGGTGTGGCCAAACATCTCCCGTAGCCTTCTCATCAATGACTCTGGCAACATTTGGCCGTCTACAGAATCGCGTCCCTACCTTTAGGCATAAAAGGAGTAGCAGCTTGTCAAGTCGCTAGATGTTTCCTTTTTTATGCTTTTCAGGATGTGAACCTATAAGCTGTGGTGTTTGCGATCGAGACTATGCCCTCTCCGTACTAGACAAAAAAATTTGATAATTCCAGTAGAATTCGTCATCCAAAATTCGATTTTGTTCTATATTCAGTACGAAATCAGATTGCACAGCTAAGGGCTTACTAGCTAGCTGATTGTCAGCCAAGTCATGGATCGCACTTGGCGCTTTTCCGCAACTGGCGCGCTGGCTAACATAGAGCAAGTAGATGATGAAAAATGCGATGAATGTTAAAGGCAGTTGGACGATAATCTCTAAGACGAGTAGGATTAATACGCCTGGCAGGACGGATTCCGTGACCCTGAGCAGGCGCTGCATAGCGCCTTTTCCAAGGAAGGTGCCCTTGTAAGGCTCTATCAAGCTGCAACATACCGACCCAAACGCCCACCACGCCCGCCCGCCCACAAATGGACGACCGTACCTGATGCTCGTATTGCTTCATTTGCGAAGGTAAAATATGAAG